GCTTGGTCTTTTTTTTTTTTTTAAGATTTATTTATGTATACAAGAGCTGGGGTACAGGCCAGAGATGTGGGGGGTGAGAGGATTCACCAGAGATAGGGAACAGAGTAGGGAACAGAACAGGCAGACTGGCTGAAATACACTGCTGAGGGGAGCAGCGGGCGAGACAGGAGAGGTCTGCTGTGCCATGTGGGTTGCTCCCTTGCCAGCCAGGGATTGAACTTGTGCTGCAGAGCCTTTAGATTGCTTCACAGTGCGATGCTTAACCCCTTATATGAGCTTGGTCTTAAAATGATTAGTGGAGAGTCATGAGATAAAGAAAGCAAGGTTATTTTAGTTAGAATATACAAAATCACAATCAAATGTGGAATTGACCACTCCTTTTGTAATTAGCAGTTTACAATTGCAAGGTACAAAGACATAGTCAAAAGCAGTTTAAAAAATGGCAATAGTTTAATATGACCAAAGTTTAAAATTCTTCTGGGAAAGTAGTAAAAAACAGAAACACAATCACATGTGGAGGCAAGAATATACATCCTATTCTGCTAAAGAGTTTTCACTTCATGATGGAGACCTAGTGAGTGATATTATAAGAAACATGAACTTTATATTTTGCAAATACTGCTCTCACAGTAGACATCACATGACCTGGGGCAGAAAAGTTAGGTCAAGTAGGAAGCTGTTACATCAGTAAGCAATAAATAATGAAGATTGCAGTTGTGGCTGGAAATAGGAAGAAAGTAAATATACATGAATAAAATTGTGGAATTAGAATCAACAGGACTTAAACCAATTTTTTTGTGGCTGGGAGGTTTATAGGAATGGAAGAGCAAGTAAGAGTAAAGAAGAATCAGATGTGACATGGAAGTTTATGTATTTTTTTAAGACCACCAGTTGTCTTTCAACAACTTGCCAACACAGTTCACAGGAAGATGAGAGAATGAATGTTAATTTTCTGTTTGTATCTTTCACAAATGAGTGAAATCATGTGGTGTTTATCTTTGCCCATCTGACTTATTTCACTTATACACCTGAAATCTTTATAATGTTACTTTATAAGCCAATATTACTTCAGTATAGTGATGGATTTTTTAAATTTGGGGAAAATCTATACAATATCTTATATTTATGGTAAGAAAAAATAGAACACGCACAGTTTTGCTACTCAGTTGACTTAGCACTTAATAAAATGATACCTAGTGGTGAAATCCAGTGGTTCTCCAAACATCCTTTAGTTTATATGTGCTTCATGACATCGTAGCTAGTTCTTTATCACTTAATTTGTTATAGAAAATGGTTATTCTAGGATTATAGATGAATAAATTAACCTTTCTGGAACACAAATAATAACCAGTAATATAATTTTAAAAACCTGAGTTTTAAAAAATAAGTGTATGGATCAAAAGTTACTTTCTAAACAAAATTAAGAAAGATACTCCAAAAGCTGCAATATTTTTGATTTACGAGGATAACGAAACTACTTTGTCATTATCCTTGGAGGGTGTGAAAGAAAATTTATAAAGAAATAAAAATCAAATTGGCTTTGAACTTGATTATAAATTCAAATGCTAGACTCTATAGAGCAATATTAAAAGACTATTGAACAAGACAGAGTTAATTTTGTACCTAGCCAGGTTTTATGCAAGATAGATAAACTGACACTAGTAAAGCTTCAGTAAATATACCACCCAATGTGTTTAAAATTGTTCCAGCCACTGAAAGGTTGGGGATGAATATTGAAGTAAGTTAAATTGCTAACTGAGTAGTTGTTTTGTTCATAAAACAAAATGCATATGACAAAGTTTTTCACATCAAATGTAAGATTTGAGTCTGTAAACGCAATCTATATCGGTCTGGCACTCCCCTTTGGAGCTTTGGGTGGTAGAAGCATAAAGCTCTGATGTTGCCCTTCTTCAGAGCAAATAATTATTCTTTTCTGCAAGGGTGTGTAACTCTGAACAGATTGTAATAGAGATTAAAACTTTTAATTTCTTGTACAGCTTGAAGGACTACATTTTATATTTGAGCCTCCTTTTTTCCACACCTAACTTATTTTCTCAATTCGCTCTCCCAGTTCTCCGACTCAGACCCTTAGGTCCAGTATGGTTTATCTCTATCACTCATCATTTCTTGATTCTTACATATAGGCATGCTGTAGGTTCAAGATTGTACTACATCGTCATCTCTTTAGAAAGGGAGAAGGAGATGATCCTCTAGGAACTCAAGCTAAGACTGAACTAGATGCTGCAATGCTACTTGATATGTGTGTAATCATAAAACTTTAATGAATAAAGGTGACATTTCATGTCAGTGGAGAAAGCTGTGGTGGTTCAATAAATAGTGCTGGCAGGCACAGACCTATGTCACAACTCAGCAGACTGCACACTTTAAATAGATATACTTTATTGCCTGGCAGTTCCAGCTCTATGAAACTATAAAAATTCTGCTGAGATGACTGACAATTTATTAGAGGAAAAATACCTTCCCTGCACCAAAATATATTTCAGAGAACAGATAATTAAATCTAATAAATGAAACTATAAAGCAGTTACAAGAAATTGAAAAATATGCAAAAATATTGGCATGATTATGGTGTAGGAAGAACTTTCTAAGCTTGAAACCACAAAAGGAAAGGACAAAAAGAAGGCAGGTTTTTTCATACGTGTGCATATATCTTTACACATAACTGGAGTGATATCATACCTACCCCTTCTCCCTCCACCTGCTTCCATACCCAGTCCCCTTTCCTGCCCCACCAGCTAAGCTATGTCAGGAGTCTTGCAGGTTTTCTTGCAAAATAAATATATTTCTAAAAGCATATAAATTAACATATATGCAAATGTAAACATATAAGAGTTTCTTTTTGAACAATGTTTTACATAATTTTTTTTTGTCTTCTTGCATCGTGTTTTTACCCTCCATACATAGGAAAAATTCCCATATCATCTGGCATAGCTTTAATTCCTTTGTTTTAATGGCTGTGTAATAACCCACTATTACACAGTTTTTTTTACAGTTTATTCTGCCATTCCGAGTAAATGGGGATTCACTTTGTTTTCAGTTCTTGATCACTATGAATTATGCTCCATTACCATTCTGTATGATTTCTTTAGGAATTGTTCATTTGGTTTCTGTGGAATAAATGCTTAAGCTTAGAATTGCTATTCCTCAATATTGAAGAGTTTCATTAATTATTTCCATTTTTAATAAATGTTCTCAAACTCCTTTCTAAAAAGTCTCTATCCTTTGATGCATTTTTAACATTCATGTATGAGTATTAGCATTCCTGACAATAGTAGGTAATATAGCTTGTTTTACCTTCTGCCATTTTCCCTTTTTTTTTTTTCCCCCAAATTTTCTCTTTATTCAGGGTCTCAAAGTTGGCCGTAGATAGTGACGAGGGCCTTTTCCTTTCCCTGGTTTTTCCTAAGAAAGACATATACAGCCTTGAACATGTGTGTAGCTTTTTAGACACCTTAGGGGTATGTCTAGTCCTTCCAAATTTTCCTTTAAATTACTGTCCAGCCTCTTAGTTGATACAACTGAGATCATTGCTTAGACAGCTACCATAGTTTCAGAATGTCATTATTTTTGTGATGCCCTGGAGGATAGGGCTTTTGTCTCCCTGAGCTGATGTTTATGTTAAAAGATATTACTGTAGTGTCTTGGGAAGTTTTCCAGCGAGTGCAAGTTGGGACAAAATAGTGATTGTGCTCTGGGGAAGTTGGTTTTTACAGTCTTCTCTTTTAACTGATACTACTGTCTTTCTGGAATACAGTTCTACTCAATTACCCCTTTTCTAGGAATTAACCCTGAGGAAAGTCATTCATTAGTTACTGAGATCCACTATTTGCCAAACAATGTTTGTGATCAAGGATACATCAGTAGAAAATACATAAATAACTTAAATAATCTTTGTTTTCATGGAGTTTACATTCTTGTTGGTGAGGCAAACAACAAAAATATAAAGTATATTAGAATGAGATAGACACTATGGGGAGATAAAAGTTAGGAAAGAGGAAGATAAATGTAGTCAGGGTGTATGGTTAGGTCACAAAGAATAAGATAATGCTTAGAGGGCCTCCCCGGTGGCGCAGCGGTTGAGTGCTGGGTTGCGAAGCTGCCCGCGGCCTCTGCGGCGCCGGTTCGATCCCCGGCTGCTTCCCGGCCACCAGAGGAGGGTCCCGCATGGCGCGCAGACCTCTCCTGCCGCCCGCTGCTCCCCTCAGCAGTGTACTTCGGTCCTTCTGCCTGTTCTGCTCCCCGCTCTGGTTCTGGTGAATTCTCTCACCCTCCCGTGCTTCTGACTGTACCCAGTGCATGTATAAACAAAACAAACAAATAAAGAAAGAAAGAAAACATGCCTCTATTAAAAAAAAAAAAAAAGATAATGCTTAGAATGATTAATCCCTAACAAATGGGAATAAATGTTTATTTCCTTTTTTCTGAGTTGTTTCTATAATAGAGATATAGAACTAGTCAACAGAAATTGGCATTTAAAAATAGTTTAAATTCTTCGACAGTGAATGTATGGTCAATTTTATAGATCCTGATATATTTTAGCAGTATCTTGACCATTAGCATTGATATATTTTGTTTTGGGAAAATAAAGATTATTAGCACAGGATTTACTATTGCAGCTTGTCATACTTGAGTGAAACTGACATAAATTTATCTTTCTCAAGTTTAGATATTCTAAAACTTAAATTCATTTAGCTAATTTTCATTGTTTTGTTTAACTGCAGTTAAGAACTTTGGAAAGTCTATCAAGTTCTATTACTAGAATTCTGTTGCACAAATGTCATTGCTAAGTTACTCATTTACTTTTTGGCACTGACGTTCTTATCATTTTAAATATTTTGTATTAAATACTTACATCGAAATTGCTTTTATATGTGTCATGGTAGATTTCATTATATTTCACTTTTGTTTTATGAACTATAAATGTAAAAATTTAGAGTAACTTAGAATTTTAGAATTTAATACAGGAAAATATATTTTAGGAAAACAGTTAAAGGATGGGAAGAAGCCAGAACCGTGCAAACCTATCCTCAAGGTGGAGTTCAAAACGACTAGATCTGGGTAAGGTTTTACTTCATTGGCAATATTTATTGTGCATGATTACTCAACTAGCACTGAAGGCTATTTTATCATTATTGTTGAAGGACTGCTTTGGAATGGTCTAGTTCAGTCTTAAATTTTGTGCTTCTTTATTTATTGAAATAACTAAAATTGGTAAACAGGATAAGATTCTCATGTTCTCTGTCTGTAGCAGTTTGGTTATATATTTTGGAAAGTTTGAATTATTATTTTTTTATGAAATTTTAGCTTTTCTCCTAGTCTTTAGTAATGATTATATTTATTTACTTGTGAACAAGAAGCAATGAAAAAAAGATTTTCATTTAACCTGTTCATCCTGTATGTGTTAATAAAGCTATGTGTGTTCTTCAAAAGTAAAACCTCACCGTAAGGATATTTAGCAATTACAAAAAGAGAGTTAGTTTAATATTAGCAGAAGTTTGTCAGTTGTATTTGGAGACAATGATTGCCAGTACATGAATTTGGTATGAAAACTAAATTGTTTTTGCCATTCTTACATCTTTTATATATTTTTGTATGTGTAGCATGTTATATCTAAAAATATAGGAAACATAATGTTTCTCTGAAAGTTGTGCATATCTTTAACTTTGAAAGGAGCCCTTTTATGTATGCTGTAGTTCCCTAGGGAAAAAATGTGTGATTGTATTTACTGTAGCTGTGTCAGAAGAGTGAATTTAGATGGCATAAGTCGTCTCTTAACCCAGCAGCACTAGCCAAAACTTGTTACAAGTACAAACTCTCAGACTTTACTCTAGACCTTGACTCAGAATCTCTGTGAATAGAGGTCGCTGATTTGTGTGTTAACAGAAATTTTGATGTACGCTAAAGTTTAGAAACAGTACACTTTGCTTATATACCAGTTTATAACCACTGGTTATTGTAACTGACTTATTTCCCTTTTTAATGTATTCTTCTCCCAATCTAAGTCAACTCCACCATTTTCTTGTTTGCAAAAAAAAGACACTAGGCTGAAGATAAGATTGATGCTATTTTTCCTTGATCAATTTTAGCCTTCCTCTGGGATCTAACAGAGACACTGTTTTTAGACAGTAGGTTGAATGTACTTAAAGAGCAGTAGCATCTGTTTAATTTACTTTAACAGCCCTGCATCACAACTTTTCACCTCTTCATGCTTGTTCCTTCATTTATGACATAGATATAATATTAATAATAGATCAAAATATTATTGTAAGTAATTAAATGCTTATTTAAAACACTACACAGTAATTTGCATAATGTTCTAAAAATGGTTACTGTTGTTTTTATTTGGATACTTCATACCACCAATTGATTTTTATTTACTATATTTGTCCCATGGCAAAGAGAGTAAATAGGAAAAGCATGCAGCAAAGAAAAAAAAAATTAGAAGCTGAGGTGGGAATGAAGCCCAACCAGAAAAAAACTAATTTGTAAGAGAACATTATTAATGTCAATCCAAATATAAGCCACAAAGTTGGGACATTTAAAAAGGAAAGTTAGTGAATTCACAATAGAAAACATAGGTTTGGAAAGAGACACTGGAAATGAAAAGGAATGATTTCTTAGGATGAAATCAAAGTACACATAGAAAAATGAGACTTCTGGAACTTGACAGGAGTGACCCAGATACCTTAAGCACTTGGTAGGTGTTTGTTGAATGGGTGAATCATAGCACTAGTCCAACTTTATTTGCATAGTTATTGTTGAATGATGTAGGAGGCAGAAAATTCTTCAGCATAAACCTCATTTATACATTAAGTGAGAGAGTATAGTGACATAATATGGAAATGACATTAAAAATTGGCAAACTTTATACGCGCGCTTGCACACACACGCACACAAAAATTGGCAAACTTTTTTCCATAGGAAAAATACATTCTTTTTAAGAAAATTTAATAAGTCATAATTATTATATTACATTAATCTCATTTTAGTACTGTTTATTCTGTGAAGTGGTTTTGGAAGTATCTAGGTTTCTTTGAAATATATCACATTAAATGAAATCATTATAAGAGAAGCATATTACCTATAATTCCAACATTCTAAAATATTTTTGCCTGTTTTGTTTTTCAGGCATATATCCATTTCCACATAATTATATTCTTAGAGCCATATTCAGCTGGTGTTTTTTTTATCCTATTTTTAACTTATCTAATGTAATACTAGTTTCTATTAGTTTATTATTTTTTAGTTGTTTATAAGGACTGTATCATTTATTCAAATATTCCCTCCCTACTGTTGATTTATAGACAATCAGGTTTTGAATACTGGAGAAAAAATACAGTTATGATTATATTTTAATTTTTTATACTTAGTACAATAGTAGAAATCTTCTGTTGAATTCTTTACAGTAAATTTCCAGTGGTGAAATTTTGAAGATAAATTTTTTTTGGATCTTGACAAATTGACATGCTGCTTTTTGAAATTATATGTGTGTAATTTAAAGAACTGAGTATCAAATGAAACAATTTCACCAGTTTCATCACCGTGGGATAACTTTTATTAGTTCACAACTTTAAACATCAGCATTTATGCTTTGGAGTGATCTTAAATTCTGTAACCACAATATGAACTCCTAAATGACTGCTGTTACTGGAAAGACAGCCCACTGAGATAATAGGGGGGTGAAGTTACATTTGTTTATGTCTGCATGTGAAGCCGCAGTGATTCATAGAAACATTCCAATTTAATTTTTTGCAAGCAGTCATCCAGCTAAAGCATTTGGTTTGTCAGGGACCAGAATTTATTCATTTGCTTTTCTGTGAATCTAGAAATTATCTGATGAACTTAACAAAATTAGTGTGTTAGGTGTAGATATTTACTTGGTAACAATTCTCTTCTATTTCAGAAACTCTAAAATGGAATTAAAACTCTTGTAGATTTTGAATATTATTTATAAAAAGATAATTTTATTTCAAACCTATTTGTTTACAAGGTTGTTACTTATTTGTTAAAAGCTGTTCAGGTGTCCCCTTCTTATATGGCTTCTACTGTTTCTGTTTTTTACTACTTTTCATACAATTGAAGTTCATTCTGAGCTTTCCCACAATTTCTTCCTTTACAGCCATACCTTCTTTACCATATAAATTGGTTCTCTGACACATCTTTAAAGTGTTGTGAATTGTTGATCAATACATAGACTGATTGGTTCACTGATTGTTCTAGTGCCTTTAACTTGGCTGCTTATAACATGTCTTGGTATCAGCTTGTATGATTAAGATTATATGTTTCTAGAAAACAGGAATCAAATTTATGCAAGATTGTCTGCAGTAAATTATTTTGAAAATTATGTGGGGTTCTCTCATAGGCAACTTTGAAATCACGCTTGTAGCTCTGTGAATCTCACAGACAGACCATTTAATGAATATAAATTAATTCTACTTGGCAAAGACTACATTCAAATTTTTAGATTTCTTTTTGATATAGTGCCTATTTGTTATATAAAGTCTCTTCTTTGTGTTGACACCAGAAAGAACTCAAAGTAATGAGCTAATATGAATTGCGTGTGTCTTTAGAAATCTCATGCATCCTAAACCCACCTGTATTTTAAAACTGTGATACACTATAATATGTCTTTTTTGGGTCAAATTTATGTGGTTAGGATAGGTTTACCAAACTCACTATGTTTACTTCTTGACTTATTTTTTGGTACTTAATATTTGTTTTGCTTTCTGGTTTAACTTCAGCAGTACAGTAGATGCTCTGTCCTGCAAAGCACAGGTAGAGAAAAGTTGTGTTGCCATTGATATGGCAGCTTCATCATAGTAGCTTTTGGTAGGACTATCAGACTTTACTAGCTGCAAGAAAACACTATATTTTCAGTTTATGGGGTAGTTAAACAAATTTCTGCCTCAAAAGCAGGGAATGTGTTTTGAGATTTTTTTCCCCCTATAATGATAGGGGGCTTTAGAATATTTAGGGCTTTAGAATTCATGGAGTCTTCTTGGGCCTTTATTGTCAAATTGTGACTTGTTATCCAGTCATCTAAGTGGTAATTTCAAGTGTTAGAGACCTGATATGAAATAAATTGTAAATTCACAAGTAATTAATAGAGACTTTAAAAATTTGACTAGTTGAAGGGAAATTCTGATCTTCCTCACTACAATAATGGTCAAAAGATCCTAATTTGGAGAAGAAACTATTTCTTTTCATGGTACTAATAGAATCCCTTTTAATAAATATAAACCTATCATTTTACCTTTGTTGGATTGAATGCCTTTTATATAATCTATTATAAAGTTATAAATTTTATTAAAATAAAAATTTGCTATTACAGATTTTCTTTTTGTAGGCTTAATTTTTAGGTTTATACTAATAGCCCACATCAAGTATCAGGACTCTTTGCATGCCTAATTACTAAGATTCCCTTAATGAAAAGAAATTTTGTATATGTGGGTATTATCTATTGATATTTACCATATATCAATAAATCAAGAAATAAAGACTAAAATTTTAAAACTATTTACAAATTAAAAACTAATACCTCTTGCATATTAACATTTTTTCTGTTTCTAAAAAAATAGTGAGATAGTAGAATTGCTTTATTTTACAAATATTTGTAGAGGTTAGTATAATATAGTGCAACTGGAGTCTCACATCTGCTTCTACAGACTGTTGTGTCATATTGTTTTTTTTTTTTTTTTAAGATTTATTTATTTACTTATGCAAGCACTGGGTACAGTCAGAAGCGCAGGAAGGTGAGAGAATTCACCAGAGCCAGAGTGGGAGCAGAACAGGCAGAGTGACAAAGTACACTGAGGGGAGCAGCGGGCAGCAGGAGAGGTCTGCGTTCCATGCGGGACCCTCGCCGGCAGCCGGGGCTGGAACCGGCGCTGGAGAGGCTGCAGCCCAGCACTCAACCTCTCAACCCAGCGCTCAACTGCTGCACCACCAGGGGAGGCCCTGTTGTGTCATACTCTTTTAATTAAACTATATTTAAAAAATCCAGCCTTACAAAGATATGTGGTTGGACTTAAAAATGATAATTATTCTTTGATACTATG